AAAATCCAACAGGAGGAAAACTGAAACGCAGGCTAGCTCAGGGAGCAGACATGAGCTAGAAAGTGTACAAGAGAGAAGCACTGATTTCTATTATGTCAAGTCTGAAGGTTTCCCCGAGGCTATGGGATTTGAACTGAAGCTCAAAAGGGAAAGACTTGGGAGTTTCATTTTATTGCTTTTCCCCCCTTTGATGTGCTGGAGATTAGATATGGAACCTTGCTCAAACCAAGCAGGCCTAAAGATTTACCACTGGGATACATCCTCAGATTCCAGGCAAGGCTTTGCCGTACATCATCTTACTGGGTCTGTAGAACCACACTGCAGTAGGATGAGACGAGAATTGCCAGAATAAAGGAGCAGAGCCAGGAGTGGGCTGTAAAGATTATGGGCGTGTTCCTTAAGTACACACTTTATGCTCGGGGGTGTGGAGTATATTTTATGGCATGTAACCTTCAAGATAAACAGAAAAAGAGAGAGATGAGATGAGCACCACAGACTGGATAATTTATAATGAACAGAAACTTAATTGCCTCATAAATCTAATGGCCAAGAAATCTAAGATGGAGGTGTCTGTGCTATCTATTATAATGGAACACTGGGCATCTCGTGGAGATGAATAAACACAGCTGGCTCACTTCCATACCACAAGCAGCCTCACAGTAAAAATCTCATTCCTCCATAATATTAATTTAGTTCACGAGGTGTCTACCTCATAATGGTCCTACTTATTACAATGATAATTCAGGGATTGGGGAATACACATTCAACCTATAGCGAGGGACTATGACCATTTTGCAGGTGTTAAAGTGTTCACTTAGGATCCTGAGCTCTGCTCTAGTAGATAGCATGGCTGAGACTTCTGTTGACTCATAGCATGGGGATGACCTGCCTCACAGAACGAGATGGCCTGCCTTGTAGACTGAGGTGGCCTGCCAAGAGCCGAGAGTCTTTGCTAGTCTTCAAATAAGGAGTTGAGTCAGCTCTTCCAATGCTCACCATCCTCTTATGGGCACCTGCTACCTTTTCCCATAGGCCTCAGTAGAAGATGAAATGGGACCCAGTGACAATCGGAAACTAAAGCCACAGGACCATAAGAGATTCAACACTACCTCTAAACTATGAAACTCAATCTAGGGCTTATTTTATATGAGGTCAAGATCTATACTCAGCTTCAGCAAGTTATCCAGTGAGAAAGTTGTCAATCAGATTGCTTCTGAAGAGATCTAGATGCTCGTTAAAATAAAACATTGTACAGAATATTACATGTTGAAATATCCCACAGTACCTATAAACATGCACGATGTTTATGATTTAATGTAACATTTAAATATGAATTCAATAAAAATCAGTTCCAAATGCTTTCTTGCTACTTTGGTGATTTTTACAGTGATTCTACAGTGCAGCTAGTAGTTTGCTTAGTGAGTGGGCGGGTCAGATCCACATAGTAAATGAGAAGAAGGTTAAAATTAGAGATAAGGAAGTAGATGGAGGCCTTCCAAGCCTTCCTAAGACATAAAGGAGGTGTGCCCTCAAGTAAAACACCCTGCCCAGGCTTCGCCCAATTGTTGTCCTTGGTTTCTCATCTGCAATCAGAACGCCTATGACACACTCCGAGTCTGAGTCTGTGACTTTAAGTGGGGGGCATGCCATTTTTTAAAGATCTTCAGGTATCCACAGGGTTTGCTGTGAGGACCTAAAGTGTGGAAGGGTGTGGAGCTCTCGAATCACACTGACTTGGAAACAATTTAGAAGCCATTTCCTTGGTGGGTACCATCAGTAAAGCATGTGACTCTGTGCCTCCTTTTCTCACTGGGACTCACCGAGGGCCGTTTAAGGAGGTCATCGAGAGAAAGCACTCGGCACAACACTCAGCATTAAATAAATCCCACATTTATATCGGCTATAGTTATTAATAATCACCATTATAGCTATTATGGCTGCTTACTAAATGTTTCAAAAGTTATCGGATGAATGAATCAAATTTTATGTTAGCAGTGCTAAATATTTAACCCAAAATTTCTAAGAGAAAATTAGTTCAGGTCTCTAGTCAGCCCTCAGATTATTTTTATTAATGTATAAGTGAGACTGCTTCTCTTAGTATTGAATTTGGGGGAAATTATAGACTTAAATTTTACATTCATGTCTCTTCCTCTAATCTCCATGCCAACAAATATATATTAAACTACTAATGCTTACAGGTCTTTATACTTAACATTTACTAGTGCCTTGAGGGCAGAAACTGATTTTTTCTTACAATGCTACATTTAAAAACCTTACGTGGTTAAAAAAAGAGCACAACAGATTCCATATCTAAATTTTAAAAAAGTTAACAAGGTGACCCACTAAGAATATAAAGTCTTTCAAGCATGTAATCAAACAAAGAAAATATATGAAAACTTTTACAAATCCTACTTTTATTAGAGATTTCTAATTTTAACTGCCATCATCTCACCAAATCCAAATATATGTAGGTGTAAAACATAAATGTAACATACGCACAATATTACATACTAGTCTTCACAGTGGCACTCGTGGGACTCAGTGACAAACAGAAGCTGCCCAGCAAGGGGGAGCTTCATTCTAGCCTACTGTGAGGACCAGACTGAGCTCAAACTGCCAGGAAAGAAAGCAGGCTCCGGCACTGGCAATTTCCTGTGTACTGTGGGCATGCCTCTAAACTGAAAAATTAGAAACATTTCAAAATAACTATGTGTTTCTCATTTTCTTTGGTCAAATTTGAAAAGTCTCCAGAGGCCAACATTGGGCTTCTCTAGCGCATCCTAACTTTATACAGAGCTTCATGATCAAGAACAAAAGGGAAATCAAAGATTTTTTACATTACAGAAATTTCTCTCAAATTAGAAAGCATTCTTTTGAAAATCATTTTGTTTTCAATTTATGGTTATATTTATCCACAAACACTGGTGTCTCTCTTTTATAAGAATCAAGCTTTTATGTGGCTAAGTATGGAGTCTGGATGCTTGAATTCAGTGTCTTTCATGAGACGTCTGGCAAATTCTACTCATACTTGGAAGCTCAGACACTAACCCTTCTCTGAAGCCTTTCCAGCCCTTGGTGCTGGACGTCTGAGATCACTCTTTGCTCTCAAGGAGCTGTATGGAAATAGTGTCTTTCGATTTTATGCATTTGCATGTTGGAGTTCAAGTGGTTCAGAGCAGGAATTCCATCTTGTTTTTCTTTGTAGTCTGAAACCTCTTCCTTTATAGTGGAACCTAGAGCTCCTAGTAAATGCTTGATTGATTTGTATATTATCAATGATTAAATAAATTAATAGATGACATTTTAATTAGTTAAAAATATTAGATCTAAAACTAATTGAATGGCTAGCCATGAGGATCAGGACATAACATATTGAAATTTTACTGCTGGGATTCCAATATTGTCCAGGAAATAAATAGATTCAAACCTGTTTAAATTGTGATTGCTATTGTTTCCTTGCAAGACATGTCAAGTTGAGAAATTCAACTTGGCTTACTATATAACTGCATTCTAAATTGTTTGTGTCCATGACTTGAAACATTCCAATCAACTCTGGAGGACATTTCCAAGGAGGGTCTGAATTTGGGTGCCATATTGTGTTCTGAATTGCTCTACCAGGAAGACCCACAATATCACAGAATCTTATCGGACAATATTTATTTTCTAAAATTTCCCCCACATAGTCTTGTAGGTATTAACAGGTTATCTTTGAAAATAAAGTTTAGCTCAAGTGCTGAATAAATCAATTAATTGGTTCAGTTCATTTGCTCAAAGGTACCCAATCTTATTTTTCAATACAATAGCAATGTTTCACAGGTCAGTAAAGTTCTAAATAAGCAATCTGGGAATCACCACCTATAAGTGTACTCCACTTCAGAAGAAAACATCATGTCTCACTATTCTGTCACCCTTGTCCATCCAGCATGAGACAAATGTCACCACTGGTGATGGAGGTCACAGAGAAAGGGACAGGGAGACATTTTGTCTGAAGTCTTTACTAAATCATACCTTGGGATAGACACCAAGACACTGAGTCTGAGACAGTTCTTACTTTGATAAACTGTCCCTGCTCTTCTTTAATGATCTGATTTCCTTTGTGTCTGTGGAGGTGAAAATGGCTGAAGAGCCGGCTTGCTCTGGGCACCCAGAGCCATGGCAGGAAGTGGCAGCCACTGGTTACACTTTTGATCTTCCGTGCCAATTTTGTGGATGTCACTATTTCGTATTGAACCTGTGTTGAACTTTGGGGGGCTCTGCTGTGGCATTTTTGAACATTGTTGCCAATTGTTGATTTTCCTCCGCTTCTTCTCAGTGTTCCCCAGCCCCAAGCCCACCCCACCCCCTTAGCTGCCTTTCCGCTCTCATGTCCCATGTGTCCCTTCACTGCCCACTCCCTTCAAAACCTAATTTACCCCCTCTGCAGTCCTTTTTCTAGTTTCATGACCAATTACAACAACCACTCTCATATATTTACATATTTCTATGTTATATATGCATATACTATATAATATATAATGGCAAACATATATAAAATATTAAAAGCTATGATCCACATATGAGAGATAATATGCATTATCTTTCTGACTCTGAGTCACCTCACTTAATATAATCATTTCCAGATCCACCCTTTTTCCTGCAAATTTTATAGTCTCATTTTTCTTCACAGCTGCATGAAATTTCATTGTTTATATGTGCCACATTTTCATTGTGCACTCATCTGTTGATGGACATCTGGTCGGCTCCCATTTGTTTGTCATTGTGAGTAGACAAATATATATATATATATATCAGCAAATATGGTTGTGCCCGTGTCTTTGTAGTTAAAGTCTTTCTGGTGCGCTTAGGCGTGGTATAGCTAGGTCCCGTTTTGAAAGAGTGTTAAAGATGGTCCACCAGAGGCGAGCACACAAGGTTTGCGTCTCCAGAAGCATTGGGCTTCGTTACAGCCCCCAGCACCTGGTTCCTGCTGCCCTGGGCTTATTTATGGATTAGGGAAATTGCCGGAATAATCGGCAGTGTTATTTTCCTGTCAAAGCGGTGAAGAACGCTGGGAAGAGTTGTTCTCCAGGCTGACATGAGAGAGGCCCTTCTAGGGCTGCTGCCATGGTTCAGGAGGAAGCCCCTTCCTGGGAGTCAGGACTTACCATAGGAAGGTAGGTGGGGCATTCCTGCAGCTTTGTTCCTGGGCTCCGGGAGGGTGACAGTTCCGAGTACCCTGTCATAAGGCAAAGGCATTGAAGGTCACCCCGCCAGAAGATTCCAGTACTGACACCAGCAGCTGCAGGTAGGAGCTTCCTCAAGAAGGAGTGACTTTCTTATCCGGGTTTCAGTGTACTAAAATTAGTGAGGACATTTATCCCCTAGATTCTGTGAGATCTCTAAGTAGTTACTCACATTACTATCCTTGCCCGCTGGGAAATTATGACATAAACTACAACTGTTAAAATATAACTCCATGGTAACTGTGGGCACATGCCTCATGCTCTCCCGGTGGCTGGGATACTGGGTTCTCTTACGTTTCCTGCAACAAACACGCATTTTGTTTCTTTACAAGGCTGGATGAAGCACAGTTTGAGCAACTGCGCATGCCCACAGTGAGGCAGGCTCTACAAATGAGCAGTAGTCTCCTCTGCCAAACAGTGGGAAAAGCATGCAGCAGGGGGGTTTCTAGCTTGTGCTCATGAAAAAAAAAGGTTCTCTCTACCAGTGAGGTACCATCCATCATGATGATTTTTTCGTTATGTATAAAAATGAAATGCACTTGGTTTCAATACAGGGAAACTACCAAGTCAAACTACCTAAGCTACTTTGACAGTGTCCATGTGTACAATGGCTTCTCTCTATCCATGCTATCATTCTCTGGGCTTTTAGGTATTCATGGTTTACCAAAGCCTGAAAATATTCAATGGAAAAAATAGAAATAAGCAATGTACACATTTTAAATTGCTTGATATTTTAGAGTAATCTGAGGAAATCTTGTGCTAGACCACTCAGTCCTGTCTGGGACATGGATTTTGATCATGTATCTATGCCATATATGCTACCAATACCCCAAATCAATTCGTATCCATCTCAGTTATCAGGTCAACTATTGTAGTATCCTAGTATTCAAGTAACTCTTGTTTAATTCAGTAATGGTTATCAACAAACAAGCAAACAAAACAATAATTACCTGGTACTAAAATGCAAGTAGTAGGCTGGCAATGTAGATATAACAAAGAGAAGCTGTCATATCTTAAATGAAAAGGGAAGCATATAAAAAGATATTTTGATAGAAAGTGAGAGCCCTGCTCATATAAATTATTGTTGTAACTGTACTGTTTTATTATTAATTGTTACTCTTCTCTTACTGTATCTAATTTATAAAATAAACTTTATTATAGGCATGTAATACAGCTTTTTAAAAAAGGAGAGTATACAAAGGGGTTTGCTAGTATCTGGGTTTTCTGGCATTTACTAAGTGACTTGGAACTCATCCCCCAAAGGTAAGGGGCTTTGACTGGTGTAAGCAGCTTATTGCTGACGTCGGGTTTTCTAAGCTAGCCTTTAAGACAAGAGATGGCAGCTCTTTGCCTCTTTTCTGTATTCTTGATAATGCAGTAAAATTGCACTGCTAAATCCTTAAAAACCGTTCTGCAGGAAAATTAAAAACAAATAAATGACAAGTCTTTGATTTGCTAGACTATTCTTTGAAGAATTGATTGCTGACTTCAAGGCAAATTCCCATCTTGGTAGCGGCCCTCCAAACCACTTCCAATCCAGTATTATCCAGCCTTTTATCCCCTGCCCTGTCCTGCTCAGTGATCTCTGAGATTTAGGGAAATGAAGTTCACTCGGAGGCTGGAATTTTCGATCTAAAAATTTACCTTAGATATACCCCAATTTCTCTCTGACAAGAGAAGAAAGAGAATCAATGAATGTTTTGTGTACAGTGTTGTTTGCAGAAGTGTTTGTAGCATTGATATAGATAGAATACCAGTGACAGGCATTTGTAACCCACCATGCACCAAGTGATTCTTGCTTCTTGCTGCATTTTCCAGGTACACTGAGTGTGATCAAACTTATGTGCTTCTTTTTATTGGGAAGAATCCCAAATGTCAACAATAGAATTCCCAGTTTGGATTGTTAGAAGGAAGACTGAGACTCAAGAGTCTCCACCCCAAATATACATATCATAGTTTCCTGCTGTTTCTGTTATGATGCCTCTACACACAACAGACTTGAAGGCCAAACAGGAATGTAGAAATAAAGGATCTTTCACATCAAGAAATCCAAGAACAGGACAAGTCCAGGTGAGAGCAACTTAAGTCTCCATTTTGCTTTGCTGGACTTGTCTCTCATCTGTCTTGGCTCTATCCACAGGCTTTGGGAAAGATGGGGGTATAAGCAGAAACAAAAACTTTATGCAATTACATCCAGGAGTGATGGAAAGGGAAGTTAGTTAGGAATAAGAAAATTGTGCTGTTCTCCATTCCAATCCTTACACTGCAATGGCTAGAACCCAATGATCATGTGTGCTTTGGTAAATCATTGACTAGTGAGGGAATAAAGTCACCTATGTTAGCCCAAGTTAACAAGAGTAGAGGGCAGCTGGCAGAGCTTGGGGAAGGACCAGAAATATTGAGTTTTAGTCCAATGCTAGTCCTGTCCAATATTTAGGTATGGAAACTGGCTAACTGCTTAGCCCCTCTTACATGTTACCTTTTCTTCCTAGACCAGGGCTGATGGCACCTCCCCTGTTGATCGTACAGGGTTGTTGTGAGATAGCAGTGAAGTCATCTTTGTGGGAGTATTAGGTAACATGCAGCTCACTGCTTGAATGCACACTCTTCCTCCTGTTGACATGGCTCAGAGAAAGCTTTTTCATTACACGTGTGTGCGCTTCTTGAGCTCAACGACAATAATTCAGAATGTGGAAGAGATAGGTCAAAAAGTTGCCTAACTTTTAGTTTGATGCAGAAAAAGTTATAGTGCAAAATAGGGATGACCATGAAGCTTATAATAGTACCTGAGAAAGCCAATTCTCTGGCATCCTCATGAACTTTGTTTATTTAAAATTAAGGTTGATGAGTAGGAAAGGGGTGCTTATTTACTTATTTACTTACTGGTGTTCTTCAAAATGTAAATTTAAAATCTAAACTATGCGTGGTGACACTGTAATCCCAGCTCTTAGGAGTCTAAAGTAGGAGGACCATAACTTTAAAGCTAGCCTGGGTAACATGAAGTGACTTTGTCTAAAATAAATTCATTAAACAACCTCTTTATTGTTTCATTTATACTAATTAGATAACCATGTATAAAATATTGGATAGGAAGAGAGGGAATACATGCAATGCGATCTGAAATTGAGCTATGGCAGAAGAGTAGTTGTCTAGTCGGAAAGAATTTTGGAAATCAGGCTAGCTCCAGTATCCCCACACAGCTACCTAAGAAAGTAAAGGGAAGAAGTCGTGTGTAAAGTCACCAGGGTGAAGGAACACAGCTGTGGAAGTGTTTGGAGAGTGCAGACGTGGTTACCAGTAATGAGTTAGGAAAGACTTCAAGTTCAAATGGACAGGCTGTCACTTGACCTGGAAACTGGAAGATCTAGGGTGATTGACAGCAAATTCATTTGAGATTTGCATCAAACTTGCTCCAAGGATTTGAATGCCTGATGAGAATTCATAATCCTCAAGTGCAAACTGCATGAGGTAGCGGAAACTAGAAGTGGGACAGGTAGAGACTGCATCAGACTATAGAAGGGATGGAGGGTCAGACCAAGAAACTTGGACTTAATTCTGCAGGGAGCGGTGAATCAGTGAAACACAGTAGGATCTTTGTTATACATCTACTCTCTGAGGATTATTTGGGAAACTTCTGAGAAGGGAAATGCAGGGACTGGGGGGAGAGGAAGCCAATATACTAAGATTTTGAACATTCAAACAAGTGTTTTACAGAACCTTAACTATATAGTGATGAAGATGACAGGCAGGGTTTGAGGTCTTGGAGGAAGAAACCATAGCTTTTGGTAACACATAAAAGCCACTTGGTAAAGAGAGGAGGGAGTTGGGGGGTCTTGTTATGGAAATGGTAAATACTAAATCCAAACTTGTCCCATAAAAGAGGTAACTTTATTCTTTCATATAATTTCAAAATAGCCTCAGAAGTGTTAGATACCAGGTTCGAACACCGTCTTGAAGACTTGGAATTCTTAGGGCTGGGGACAGAGTTCAGCCAGGAAAGCACTCACCCTAACAAACTGAGGACCTGAGTTCACAGAACTCATATGAAAAGTGAGGCACAGGCCTGCCATCCAGCATTGGAGAGACTGGAGGCAGAGACGGGAAGAGCCCTGCAAACTAACACATCAACTAGCCTGACTTACATGGAAATGTTCCAGGCCAATGAGAGACCCGGTCTCAAACAAAAGATGGAGGAAGGCACCTGAGGTTAGGTACCCAAAGCTGCCTTCTGACCTCTATATGCATGTTATATACCAGGAGCAGATCTTTGGGGTGTGAGCTTTTTATTTATTTTGTTGTTGTTTTTTGCGCTGCACCTACTTCATGCTATTGCCAACTAGGCCCAGCCACAGACATAGGACCCCACTATCATGGCCTAGGCCACTTCTCTGCTATAATGGACTGGCACCCTTTGAAACCATGAGCCAAAATAAGCCTTTCCTCCCATATTACAGCATTTATGAGATGATTCTGTTTGCAATGGGACCATGGCTCGAGTCATTGCATGAGCTACCTGCCCAATTTGAGCTGTCTTCTCTTCAAATAGTGCACATGATACCTACGTGCTGTATTAGCGTTCTACAAAAGCATGTAAGTATACCAGGAACTCTTCCTGGTTGCAAAGAATACTGTGGAATTTTCTTAAGTAAAAAAATCATTCTGTGAGGCAAATCTCTTCTCTTGATTGTATTGGATATACATTCATTTATTCAGGTTTAGCCAGGCCTGGGTATCTCACTACAGTAAACAGGTCCTATAGTCACATCTCCTAAGAGACTTACTGCAATATATCAATGAATCTGCAAAATCCTGGAAGCCTCACGGCCCTCATTGCTTTCAGAAGAGTCCTAAAACAAACACAGATGTCAACAATGATCTGGATAAATGGTAGAGAGGGAACCAATTTCTCCTTAATTATGCAGCTTCCTAATTCAGCACTGGGAAGGCTGGAGACATATGTAAGAGAAAGAAGATTTTGAGATCTCTGCTCCATTTCTTTATCACAGTGTTCCTGTCAAGTGTTTAAAAACAAGAGACCAAGCAGGGAGCTTGTATCTGAAGACCAAAAATTGCTATCATGCTTGGCATGTAGATAGACTCAGAAACAATTTTATTTTTTTTAGCCAGAGACAGCACGAATGAATGAGTGAGTGAGTGAATGACTGAGTGAAGGAGGGAGGGAATGGTAGAGTATGAGAAGGTTCCTCAGTGTCACTTTCCTGGGGGTGGGCTATACAGGAATGCTCTGTGGGACCATAGATGGAGACTGTCCATTTTGTTACTCATGGGGTGGGAGACAAGGAGCCATGCAGAAAACTTACACATTTTACCATCCCATATCTTTAGAGAGCTTAGACAATTCCTTCAAAACTTACTTTGAAATGATTCCTACTCTGTTTTTATGGGAAAACAAAACAAAACATTGGACAGAGAATTTAGGAGTCAATCCCAGAAAATAAAAATTTCTGATCTTCTGTTAAATAGGCAGCACTCAAGAAATTAAAAATTAGATGGATTGATAATGGTTAGCATTAAAAGATCAAGAAACCACTTACAGTCCAGTGCCAAAGTGTCTCTTCCCTTTCCCAGTTCTGTTTGTGCCTGCCAGAAGTTTCAGTTATAGAGGAGTTCTAATGGGCATGAGGGGACAGATACAGAGGTGGCTTGGAACACCAAGGTTGACATTACAGTGTTTTGATGGTCACATGGACTGAGAGATAATCAAGATAATGCAGTTTCTTCCTTCCCACTGCTCAATAGTTTAATTTCTACATAAATTCTACTTTATAATTTCTAGTTGTTTCTTTCCCTTAAGTCTTCATACCAAGACCCTTCAAAAAAGAAAGTAGGAGGGGAAGACAATGGCATTCCAAGAATCAAAGGAAGCTTGACCCACAGACCTTAATCAGAGTGTGAGAAAGAACATTCCAAGAGAAGTCTTGGGTGGGGAGTATGCGAAGGTGGAAGGGGAGGAGAGGGCAAGGAGGAAGGGAAAGGAGAGAGAAGGGATCTCTGAAGGCTTTGACCCAGTGTAGGTTATATGGCAACTGTAGGAGATTTATCCTGTAGGAAACAGGTGCCTCAGTGACTAAGACCATGGTCCCCCATCCTTGCTCTGACAGTTTATTTGCTTGCTATAATAGCCTACTGGCTTGTCCAGACTGCCATAGACCTTCTCCCATTGTGGTGAAAATTCATAAGTCCTGCTTCTCTGTCACCCGTGGGACTTCTCTACCCCTACCCTAACAAAGTGCCACCTACTGCTCCTTGCAGGTGCTGATGGCTAAGGAATGATTCCCTTGGTTCCTTGTTCTTGGATTTTCCCAAAGGTGCACAAGGACATTCCAGAAGTCACTCCTGCAGTGTTTCTCAGTGTGAAGGCGACTTGTAGGAGAATTACTAGGATTACTTTTTTAATTCCCAAATGTTCTAATGATAGTCAATGTTTTGTTGTAGATGTTGGTCATACAAGTAGAGTCAGTTTTAAAGATTTGCTATGGTATGTGTGTTTTTTCTGATTAAACATATTTCACTAAAGTGTTTCAGGAAAATTCGCAAACTGATGGAGTCAAGATGTCATTGTCTGGAGGCTGAGAAAAATTCCACCTACATCAAGCGATTTAGGCTTTTTCTTTCTTTTTTCCTCTCTTTCTTTCCCTCCTCCTTTCATTCCTTTATGCTTTCTTCTTTCCTCTCCCTTCTTTCCTACAGATATGCGCCACACACAGAAGGTAAAAGATTAGAAATACTAAAAAACAACATCTAAGCATATACTGTGGTTTTCCTGGCCTGTTTTGAACACTATTTTGTGAGCATGTAGTCAATAACTGCATCCACTGGTTTAGTGCCTGGGATCATAAGAGTAGAGGTGATGAGCTAGCCTATGCCCTCCTACTGCTCTTTGCTGTTTACCGACTGACTTTTAGAGTATGGTTCTAGATGCCACTGAAGGATCATGTATTGGAGACTTGTTCCCAAGCTTATAGTGCCACTGGGAGGTGATGAAGCTTTTAGGAAGTAGGGACCAGGTGATGCCATGGCCTTGGAGGATACCTTGTCTCCTCACTTTT